CTGGACTATTTATGCTTTCCCCGTTATGTGACAGAGAAACAAACTGAAGTTTAAGCTATTGTTAATTTAGATTTTTGTTATAACAGCCAAACTATATTCTCATTAACATACATGAACTCATACAAATATCCATATATCAAGCCACTAATAAAACCATAATAAAGTCTACAAAGTAGAAATAATATAGACATTATCTGATTACTATACAATAAACCTAGAAAGCTATTAACAAATCCAAAATAAAATAATTCTACCACCTTGATGACTAAAAATTTTTCTCTTGAAACAACTTTTGAGACTAAGGAGAAAAAGCTACCATTGCAGAATATTTATAAATTAACAATGATGAACATCTACATACAAGAAACAATAAGATACAGCTACAGCAGTGGTCAGAGAAACAAGTATAGTTTTAAATACTTATGTTAATAAATATAAATATATTAGTAAATATATAAATGAAAATAAATTAAGCATCCAACTCAAGAAATTAGAAGAAACGTCATGAAGCAGAATTTTAGAAGATAAAAGGCAGAAATTAGTAAATCATAGATCAGAGAAATAAATAATCCAAGAGCTGGTTCTCAAAAAAGAGAGAGATTAAATCATTATCTAGTTTAATCAAGAAATAAGGGAAAAAAAACTTCAAAAAAGCAAAATGAGGAAATTATTTTGAAGACACAGAAGAAACCAAAAGGATAAGAAATTATTTTAACCATCTATGTGTAAAAAATTTAAAAACCTGAATGAGGTGAACAATTTTCTAGGAAAATACATCAAAATTGGCTACCAAGTAGAAAATCAACCATTTACCGTATAAGAAATAGAAAAGATTATATAAGTTAAGCTTTCCATCAGGTTTAGATGGTTTCACTATTGAGTTTGCCAAAATTTAAGTACAGGCCACTTCAATGTTACTGTTAACACCTGAGAAAATGTAAAAAGAAAGAAAGGTCCCTAGTTTTTTAATAAAATGTTCATGATAGTAATACCTAAAACTGAGAAAGAAAAACTACAGACAAATCTCACTTTTGAATGCAGAAACCCCAATTAAAATATTAGCAATAAAATTCAGCAGCACATTAAATGAACAATAAATTCTGATCAAGTGGGGTTTATTCTGGGAAATGTGTGGATGATTCAATATATAAAGTACTAAAATAACTTATTTTATTAATAGGTAAAGGGAGAAGAATAAGGTTATTTTCATAGCAACTGCAAAGGCATTCAGTAAAAACTCAATACCCACAGGAATGTGGATTCTTCTTTAATGTTTGAGTATATACTTCCCTTATTCTCTACAGAACAATGAATTACCAAACTGGGTCTTTTTCTGCATGATTTGTGAAAATTCTTTACCTGTTAGAATCTTTATATCTTTCTGACATATGTATTAAGAATAGCTTTACCAGAATCTTTCCATTTTTATGTCAAATGTATCAAACTTTCCTTTTATAGATAGCTTCTAGGTTTTGTGCCTTACTAAGATAAGAAGGGTCTTCTCTACTCTGAAACTGACTAAAAAATCATCACTTGTGTTTTCTTTATGCATTTAATGTTTGGTGTTCACATCTTTAATTTATTTGTAATTATTCTGGAGGAAGGATTAAGGAAAGATGTTAACTTTGTTTTTCTTGTAATGTTGGCCTGTTGTCCCAACACAAACTACTGAACTTTAGTTTCAATGGCTTGAATTACCAGCTTTTTCCTGTATTAAGTTCCATGATAGAGTTGGGTTTATTTCTGGACTTTCCCTGATATTCTATTGACTAGTCTATTAAAGAGATAGTATCAAAGCTGTTTCAATATCTGCAGCTTTTTTTTTTAATAATAATTTTTACTGAAGCAACATTTTCTAGTTTTTATTTTTTATGAGGGGGAGGTAACTAGGTTTCTTCACTGATTTCCGCTTGGAGGAGGTACTGGGGATTGAACCCCTAACCTCTTGGGTGCTGAGCATACACTCTACCACTCGAGCTATACCCTTCCCTCAGTAGCTTTTTAATATATAATATTTAACAGGTGATCCAACCAATTTTTATTACATATTAAAATAATAAAATTTGTATATGGGAAAAGACTCCTGGAATTATGATTGAATTCAAAGGGATACTATTCTATCTTGTAACTTTTTGTCAATTTTTAACATAATGAAAAAAAAAGGCCAATATTTACTGGGAACCTACTACGTGCAGCAACTTTTGTGAGGAAAGAGGTGAAAGACACGATGTTGAGGTTCATCAAGGAGCTTCATTCCAGTGAGGGAGTCTGAGGGCTTATAGAATCAGTGTTCATTTTCTCCATCTGTTTCTCTCACACACAGTCTTTACATAACCAGTTTTCATTTTCTTTCTGTC